TTGATGGAAAAACTTGTACATTAGTTTACCTTTGATGGAAAAACTTGTACATTAGTTCGCACAATAGCTTAGAAAAATATTAAAATAATTTTTTTTATTTTTTAAAATTTATTTTTGATATTAGCATATAAAAAAGATTCTAAAACACTAAAAAAATAATTTAAAGAAGAAAAATATGAATTTTGATGAAAAATAGGTTGCAGTGGAACCCCAAACAAATCAGGATTTAGTTAGAGGTAGCACTCTTGAGCGGTTAGAGAAATTCGATGGAGGGTGGGATGGTTGGAAATTGATTTGCTTGAGCTTTTGCGATATCTAAAAGTAGTAGGGAAGTGTGACTGGTATCAGAACGCAGAAGCAAGCACACTCGTTGACTTCGAGTGCCGAACTGCTGATCTTGGAACAGAGAATTGATTATAGAGAAATGATTGCGGAGTGGTTGACTCACTGGAAGTTAGGAAGCTAATTATTGGAGGGAGTTCCATAAACCTATGCAAGTGAGATTTGATAAGGTTGACAGCTGCTTGTTTCGAACTGATGTTAAATCTGTGATAAGCAACAGGGAGAATGAGATAACTGCCTGATGTAACAAGGTCAAACTATACAGTGTAGGCTGCTCTTGGTTTAAGGATGAAAGGTTAATTGTTGAGCAAATGGCCAATTTATCCTTGTATTACTGAACTGAATGCTTGTAACTTGCTCGCCTATCACATAAATAACAACGTTTCCAGAGGCTTTGTGGCCTATTTAGGGAGATGGAAAGCTTCATGAGGATATATAAACCATATTGATGCCAATCTGGATAATTTTCATGTACTGGAGGCGTGAATTGTCGTGGAAAGAGTAACGTGTCACCTTCTGTTCCTGTGGTAATATTGCTGAGGGGTGCTCCTCTATTCCCAAGCTTGGTAAAAGTGGGATGTGGCCTTAATGGCACGTTGCATGATAAAGTCGAGGGAAAATTACTCTGATACTCGGATTTTTTTTTTTTTTAAAAAAGGTGACTTTCATAAAAATTTCAGGAGAATAACATAAAAATATTTACATCACGACCATGTTTTTAAATGTTGGATTTGTACCCAGATTGTTTAGTCAAAATTCAAAAGTCAATATATATTTTATGTAAATTAATTAATATGTATAAAAGCTGGCCAAATTTTTTTAAAATCCAAGGACCAGAAAAAAAAAAAAGAAGTTGATCTGGTAGGGAAAAAAATGAGTCATTTTGGATATATTGATGTTTTATTTTTTATATACTCAATATTGTTAAAAAAATATCAGAAAGATTTCAATGATATGATTCTAACAACACCTGCAAAGTCATCAAACAAGAATGTAATTAAGAATGTAATTAATTAGGGATTAATTTAGGGTTAAAGTGGTTTAAGGATTAATTTGATTGTCTTCTAAGATGTTAGAATCGTCTTCAATGATAGGGGAGAAAAACAAGGAAAGAAAAAATGGTTTACTAGATACATATTAAGTTTTGTTTATTATATACTCAGTGCTATTAAATTTTTTTTGATGACACAGTTTTAACTATATCTTGAAATAACATCAAACGAGGATATAATTGATTAAGGGTTAATTTGAAGTCAATGTGGTTTAGGAGTTAATTTAGTGAGTTTTTAAAATATGATTAGAGTTCTCTAGTAAAAATCTTTCTAACAATACTATATATATATATATATATAAAAAAAAAAAAACAAACCGGATTAGAGTTCTCTAGTAAAAATCTTTCTAACAATACTATATATATATATATATATATAAAACCGCCGGTGCTCCTATAATTTAAACAGAAAAGCTCTTATCTTCGTTTTTTCAAATTTATTCATTTTTTCATGAAAGGACCTAAATATGCCTTGATTTTTTCAACTTTTTCTTTTTCCCCCCTCTCCTCCTGCTTCTTTCTCCTCTCCCTTTCCTTTCTCTCTTTATCTCTCTCCCTGACATCCCCTCTCCTCTATTCTCTCCACAACAATCACCCTCTATCTCAATTCATCTCTTCTATCTTCCTGGACATCTCCTTTCCTTGCTACTCTCTCTTCATAACAAGCATCCCTTAATTAGCTCTCATTTTAAAAATCAGATTTGTTGATTTTATATGTATTTTTTTCTCATAGTTGGGACATTGATGGGACGAGTGACTAGAATATGGACCTGTTAGGTTGAGATCATAGTTGAAGAGTTCCCTTAGGCAAATGTAGAATGATTGCTTTACGGACTATGGTCATCAGCTTGTTTAATATCTCGTTCAATTTCTGATCAATTCTTGTTCTTTACAGATATTTGAGGGGTAGTTTATTGGAAAATGGCCAAAGTAGTGGTGAAGCAATAGATTATGAAAGACAAAAACAAGTACATCGAGCACCTCGTGGTGGTGCTCTATACGTCGTTGCTCCTAACTAAAATACATATAATCATGGGATAAAGTACAGGTGGTGTAAAATGAAGACAAGCAGGTACTGATGGCAATTGGGTTGCATATAAATGAACTGGTGCTAATGGCAATTTAGGTGGCCTGGTCTCGCTGCTCTGTAGGCTATTTTAAACTTTTTATGTGGTCATCTTTACTGCTTCCATCGTAATTTGTGAAGTTTGGGGGAAGTCTAGTGTTTGAACATCAAATTTTAACTTACATTAATACTTTGACTATGAGAAGTTGTAAATATGTAATATTTAATTTATAAGGGTGTTTTATATATTAAATCAATTTTAATAGTATTTGTGTAATATTTTTTAGTTTTTTCGTTGACTCGTATGTGTCTGTTGATTTTTAATATTATTTTTAAATGGTGACAAGGTGTTACCATCTTAAAATATTAGGAGATTTATCCTAATGTTTATTGCATGGTTTCTGGCTGGTCTCATTAGGGTAGCCCTTGGTATCTGATACCTATGTCTATGTGAGTAGACAAACCTGTTAAAAACAATTGACTGAAACTGCTGATTTATAGTGCATGGAATCCTGATGGCCCAAGTTGTGTGGCTCGAAGTATAACCTAAGCCTAAGGTGCTGACCACGAAGTTGATGGTTAGGTGTAGAAAAGACCTCCCCGAACCTGAAAGCGATTTCACCCCTTTTTTGACCCTGGACGCGCCAATAACAAATTATTTAGAATTGTGATAAATGTTATTTAAAAAAAATTATTTAAAAATATATTAAAATAATATTTTTTATTTTTTAAATTTATTTTTGATATTAATATATTAAAAATATTAATCCAAAAAATAAAAAATCTTTAAAAATATATGATGAAACTGCAATAGCAAGGATTAAATAACTTCACACAACATTAAATTGAGGCGAGTTGACATAATTTCTTAGAAGCCCAACTAGGATGATGTGACTTCTAAAAGATCAACTGGCCCAACTGATCCATAAACCATACGGGAGTTCATTTGTTTTGGATCCCTTCAAAGTCAACGAGGCTATGCATGTAGGCACATTTACTTTGAGAAGCCCCGTGTCTGGATATAACATATCCGCCCTCAACTATATCCACCACTCTCCGTATAGTTGACACTATTTTATTAACTCTCGCGCTTCATATAGTATTATTAGATTAATTTTTTTTAAAAAAATTATAAAAAAATTAACATATTAATTTTAAAATTTCTTAACTCAACTTTTTACTTAGCTTAACTTTTCAATTAAATCATGGAGGAAGTAACTTAACTTAAATCCATTGATTTCATGGTTCAAATGTAACCATGATAAATAGTAAGAATATAGTTTATCTTAAAAAAAAACTTTAAAATAATAACTTGAAAAAACATATTAAGATAATGATGAATTAAATCGATCCTAACCCCCTCACGACTCAAGTTATTGATTTTATTGAATTTAATAAAAAAAATTATAAATTATTTTTATTTAATTATATAATAAAAATATATATTTATAAAATTGCTACCAACCTAAAAATAGATATTTATTTGAGAAAATAATAACCATATAAAAAACAAATAAAAATAATTTATACATTTTATTTCTCAACCTATCCAATATCGAAAGACAACAAAAATTAAAAACAATTAAAGGATCAAATACAAAAAAAAAAAACATGCCTGGTCAGTAGATAAACTCATCAAACCTGTGAACCGAGTTATGAACTCTAATGTAATTATAATTTTTTTAAAAAATAATTTTTCAATTTAACTATATAATAATATAAATAAACAATCGCAAAATAGAACACCAGCCCAAAATCCATATGTTATTTTAAGACCATGATAATCTCATGAAAAATATAGTAAAATAATCTAAAAGACTAGATTTTCAATTAACCTAATGTCTAATGATGAAATAAAAAAATAAAAAAACTCGCTAGATTCGCAAATCAGGTCAACCAACTAAACTTACGAATATATTCATGAACTTTATAAAATTTAATAACATGAATTTTCTCAAAAACTATTTTTTAACTAGAGAAAAAAAATATGATAAAAAATTAAGTTCAATTAAAAAAACACTCCATCGAATCTATAAACTTAGGCAATCTAAATTACTCTATCAAACCTACAAATCACTCTAACCTTGTAGAAAGGAAAAAAAAAAATTTACAAAGTCAAATTCTTAATGATCTCATTATTAAAAAATAAAATCAATAAAAAAATATAAAAAAATAAAACAAAACACTATAAATTACCAAGTCTCAAGGTTTTTGATTTTGTGTGTGTTCAAAATAGTCATATGAAATACTTTTGAAAATAATTTTTTCCTTGAAAACATACCAAAATAAAATAAAAATCAGATTTTTTTTCATTTGTAATATCATTACATCAAAACCATTGAAAACTAGTAAAAAAAACATTAATTTTAACATTTTTTTCATATTAAACGCATTTTTAAAAATCATTCAAAAACAATTTGAAATATGCTATCAAACAGCCTCTTTTAATGATTGTTTGATATTGTGTTGTTTGGTATTGTGACCGTAAGTAAAGTTTATTATTTAGCATTATAAAAAATATATAATTTTTTACTGGTAATATCCATCAGCTCTGCCGTAGGTTTATCAAAATCACAAAAAGTAACTTGTCGCTTTCTGTGTAAAGAAATTTTATAAACAGTGTAATCATATTCTATTATTCACGTGAATAATGTGAATAATAAAGCGTGGCTCCATTCACGTGAACAGTAAGGAAGCAAGCGGGTAAGCCAATACTACCTGCGGAAATCTCACATCCCAGAAAGACCTTCATTTTCACCTGCGCAACCGATTTCATCCTCTTCAAATTAAGGCAAGCAAGGCCTATCATCCAAAACCCTTTTCCACCTCAAGTCCAAGGTTTGTGTTTTAGAAGCCGCATCGAGTTTGGTTGCTGCATTGATTCAACCAAGTTTAGTTTTGTACATAGAACGAAAAACCACTTCAGCGCGATAGACCTAAAATTTTCAATCAAAAGGAACGAAACTGTTGGTGCGGTCTGAGCTTCATCCCGTGCATGGCCTCGTCTCTGTGGACAAAGGAAAAAAATTCACTGGCAGGCCAGCAAGACCGTCGTGGCGTTGGTTCTTTTAGTCATGGAATTAATCATCTTATAATTAGTTCTATTCCCTCGAGTCCTGTGCAATTTTGGTTGGATATATACTCAACCATGAGCATACATTTTGGACTTCAATGTAAAATAAAGAAATGCAAGTTGCCTTCCATTTATTTGTAGTATGGACAACAGAGTTACTTGGAAGCATTTCAGAACACGGGGCAAACAACACATAAAATCGCCAGCTCCAGAATAAAACAAGAAATATTTATCATCGAAGTAAAAGATATGTACCAAAAGTCAATCAATGCAAGATGCAGCCTGCCCACGGAATCACATGTCATTTCGGCAAGGCCAGGTTTTTATGCGTTGCTATTTCCAGCTTCTTGCTTAGTTTTTCACCTGCATTGGGATCCATAAAAGAAGACAAATAACAAATCCGTAAGTAACAATGAACAAACTAAAACAAGGTATCACGGTAGAAATCACAAGGAAATGGACCCGCAGTTCACAAAGAAAGCAGGATTCAAAGCCCTCTAACAGACCGAGAGTCATAGTTTACATTCATCTACATGATTCAAAAAGATCTCACAAAAACATTTGGGTAAAAAAAACGCATAGAAAGGATAGTTATACGAGGGAGATACTGATTTGGATCAGATACTCCTCGGTATCTGTTCCATAATTTTGTAACATGTTTAAAGACGAATTGCAGCTTCAAAAATGGTTCCAATATTTCTTGTCAGCTCCTGGGAAAATGTCAAAGCACAGGGATATTATGGACAGGCAGGAGAATATAAGAGGAAGCAATAATAGGGGTTGGCTTTTGATCCAGCATCCATCATGTATAAGTGATCCCTGTTCTGATTATTAAATTAGGGAAGCTGGCTGGTGTGATTTAATTATTTAATCTACAGAAAGTTTACAGACCCGCCCACAAACACTTCATCTGGGCACTGTTCTCCAGAAGCAAGAAGATGCCTAATTCAATTGCAGCAACCAGTCACGGAGACATAAGTATGATACTTGGTGTATGTGTCTACAAATCAGAGGATCCATGCGTGGAGTTTTTTGACAAACTCCTACTCCCTCCGGTCCATTTTTCCTTTTCTGTCTTTAACTGGGAGCTACAGGGATAAAATCTATTATATGCAACATGAAATTTTATGATCATGGGACATGAAAATCCAACACAGAACACCAGTGTCCCACCCAATAACCTATCTGCTAATCTTTCAAGCATGTTTTAGATGACCCCTAAACTGATGGCGGTGGCATGTGACGAGATCCACCACAATGAATCAGCTGATACCAGTGACACGTGAAGTGATGCTGCAGTTCTAAAATAAAAAACACAGCAGTCACATAAATCACTAAATGCCAGTATTTTGCATGACTCGTATTTATCCTACACAAGTTGGAGGAGTGGGATGTGAAAGGAAAGGTAATTGGTGGATTGAAGACTAACCTGGCCTTGACATGAGGTTGATATGAGAACGAGGTACTTCAAACTTCCAGTTATCGTCATCCAATGATTTAACCTCCTTGTTGAGTGCAGCCATCAGATCAGTTTTTAACGCTGCAATAGAAGAATAAGAAGACTTCTATGAACAGCAATAACTCCAATGTGTTGCTATTAACTCAGATAATAGATATAGTAGTTAAAACTATGGGTGTTTCGCTAATTGGATGCGGGGCCTCCCTTTTTTCTTTCCAAGGTCAGTTTTAGAGAGAGAACAGAAGGCACTCCCCCCTCTTCGCCCCTAGCCCTATGCCCCTGCCAACCTTCCACTACATAATTCATTGAATGCTTGAAGCTTAGAGAGAAAGAAAGCCATATGTTTAGCAGGATGAACTCGTCAGACAAGAGCTAACAGAGAAGAATAAACAATAAAGTTCCAAAATATATTTCTCTATTGTTTTATTTTGTAACCAAAATGGGTGAAGAACAAATGCAAAAAAGTAAGTCCTTGAATTTTCATATATCCAAGTTAGGTTAGAGGGCCGCTAAAAACAGAGGTATACCAAGAAACAAAGAAAATTAACAGACATGCTAATTAAAATGGATAAATCAGCTGGATGAAGGAAATCGATTTAGAGATGTAAGCTTTATGTCTTTTGAAGTCGAGAAATTAAATCTCAATCCTCCACAAGACCAAAACTAATGGAATCAATTGGCTTAGTCCTATATTTAAATAATCAAAGTGTGAAACATAAACTAATTCTGTCGATGAGTTCGATTTGTTTCTTAAAAAAGTAAATAAATATAAGGGGCAATATTTCGTAACAAGCAACATAAACTTCAGAATTTTATGTCCAACATGAATTTCATGCATTGTACCTTATTTTCTTAGCAGCAGGACAATGAATTTATGAATAAGACCAACATCTCAGTAACATGTATGCTTTAGCATGCCGAAGAGAATCCTAGAGTAATGGGGCCTTTATAAATATGATATATAACGATAATAGTAGCAATCTAAACACGAGAAAACAAATAATGTGAAGTATCAAACAATCACAAAAATAGCCACCAAGTCCACAGGCCAACGCAGAAAACGCAGAAATATAAATACCCCAGGTAACGAATTTCCATAAGAACAAGCCAAATCCCACAAAAAATATTCAATTTTTTAATGGCCAAAAAAAATAAAATCTTTCCTACACAAATGCCCAAACCTGCTACCAAAAAATCCGAAATTCATATAGACTATGCAATATTATAACAACCCAGATGGCTAAACCTCACAAAAGAAGAGATTCTCAAATGGAACAAAAAAAGGAGAAAAAAGCAAACCAAGCATGGCCTCATCTTTGCGGTCTTGAATGGAGATTAAATCAGAAGGGAAATGAAAATCATCCAAAACAACATTGTTAACACTTCCTCCTCCACCTCCAATAATTGCTGCTGTTGATACTGATGAATTTGCTGATGATGTACTGTTCATTCTGTATCTCTTCTTTGGTAGAAAATTATTACTTCCCTAAGCGGGAAAAATATTTGAAGCCGAGAGGGAGGGAGGGGGTTCAACAAAGAAGAAGAAGAAGCTAGAAAAGCAGTTGACTGTTTTTTTCCCTTCCCCGAAACAAAAAAAAGTAATAAACTTAACTTGTTTATGGGCTTCATCGTAGCTTAAAAAGAGGGCTGTCAAGCCCACTACTTTGTCATCATAAATAATCTACTTGATTTTCTTCATCTTGAAACAGAAAAACAAAGCAGTGGATCCCATCTCAAAATATTTCGTTGAGAGAAAAACTGATTGATATTTCAGATTCTACTTCTTACTCTCTCTCTTCTCTCAATTGCCTTAATCCTCTTTTTCCAAGAGGATTTTCCATCTCAGTAGATTGATTCTGGTGAGTTCTATTTCTCTTTACTGTGTCTTCAAATGGAGCACATACAAGCTTTAGATAGGCAATTTGCTTAATCTCTTCATGATTCGGTCATTGACTTACATTCTCTTTCTGTGAATCATTTTTTATCTCTTTTGATGTAGGGTTATTACAGAAATGCTGTGTGTGTGTTTTTTAGCTAGATTTGGCTTAAGTGCTTTTTTTCCTTTATTGAATCGGATTCTGTTTTTTTCCTCTCTTTTTTCATCTGTTAAGTTATATTCACTTTGTTTATTTATCTTTATTATGTGATAATAAAATTCAATGAAATTGGTGCATGATTTTTGCACAAGTCAAAACCATCTCAATGCAAACGGTGCAAGAATCATTGACTGAAGAATGGAGGTGCTCTCTTCGTTTTTTCTGTACTAGTAATTTTAATTTCTGGCTGTGGATAAGTCTAGTTTGATTTCTATTGGAAAAAATGATATTTAAAAAAAAAAAACCCTGTTCGTTCTAAATGCTACATTTCCTGTACTGAACCTTTGAAAGACTCAGTTTGGCTCTAATATGGTGTGTAATTGAGCTAATCTTTGAAATCCCTGTTTGACTCGTTCATGTTTCTTATATTTTTGGTGAGGACATGCATGTATTTACATGTGTACATTTGTATGTCTGTGTTTGTGTGTGGGTGACTTGCATACAGGGCCGATGCATAGAGAATGTGCTTGTTACTATGTATGCGACAATTTGTTTAAAATAGTTTTGATTTGATGAATCATCAAGATCATTCTAGAGTGGATCATCTGAAGGTGTGACGGCAATTGGGATTATACTTTTTACTATGTATGCCTTTCATTTGTTATGTCGTGAGTTTTTGGTAACATTATGCTAAGGGGCATTGGTCTGTAAATGCCCTAAATTTACTGAATATGTATGTGTGTTTAAAGGAGTAGAAAGTCTGCTTTTAACTTTGGAAAAAATATCGGAATCTTATGTATCCTGCAACTGAATGCTTAATATTTACGACTTCTATTGTGCTTTTTACTATGTTTCAGGTAGTCTATGGCAACTCCTAAGCATGTTAAGTTTTGCACTCACCAGAAGGTGGGGATCCTGTTGATATTCTCTGTTGGCTTTGGCTTTTTCTTGCAGAGTTCTTCATCTTCAAGTGAGGTGGGTACACCATAGCCCTTTTGCCTTGGATTTTCTTCTTCATATCTGTTACTGTGTGTATTTCTTGTCCATGATTTGATAGCTCTTGTAAGCGTCGTGCTGTACTTTGAGTTTCACATAGATGTCCTGCTGCGGTATAATCTTTTGTGTAGCATTTTGTAAGTATTAACTTTCTACAATGAAAGATGCATACTAGATGGCTGTGAGCATTTCAAGAAGCAACAATATGGCATGCCCTAATGACCATACAGCATTTATTTTGAGTTTGGCTACCTGCCTACTATAATTGCTACTTGTAACAATATCCAAACGTTTGCCATTTTGATAGTACATGTTTCTGAGAATTAAAATGCAATTGCAGGGAACCAACTCAGAATGCCTTTCAATTTGACTATGCATCCAATTAAGTTTCAACATTTTATTGTCGTACTTGTATCCTTAATTGCCAGAGGAGGCAAGGTGTGAATGTAACAGTTTCAACATTTTATTGTCTAACTTGTTTCCTTGCTTGTCAGGAGACAAGGTGTGAGTCAAGTTCCAATTCCAACAACTCATATTGTGGTTTCAGGAAGTATATTATGGAATCCTATTTTGAAAAACATGATAGCTTGCTTGAACCAAATTTCCAAAACTTCATAGTAGATGGACTTCTTTTTAATACCTGCAAGCTGCTGCCAGATAATCTGAATCATCTTTTAAGAGTATCAGTTCCATGGCGTCATTTGATTGGTGAAGGTTCTCATCGCCATATATCATCAACTATCAGATTCCACATGCAGCCAGATTCCATGTCTCAGCTACGTGCTCACTTTTGTAAAGTTATCATTATTGAGAGACTGCCAACAGGAGTCTTTGCTGACCCATTTGAGCTCCAACACATGCTCAAGCGTGGTGGTAGTGCATTTAATTGTTCCTACATTGAATGATATATGTGCACCTCATTTTGAAATTTGGGCTATAGTGGCATTTTTCTCTAGCCTGATGTACATTTACTCCACTTCTGCAGTATTTACTGATGTGGCTGTTTTTGGAGATACTAATTTGGAATTGCCCTCTGTTCTATCGAATCAGTCAGCTGTTGAGATTCATATGAATGTTGCTCCCACTTCCTTGTTGGGACATATAAGTGAACTGGAAATCAGCGTAGACCTTCCATTGCATGCGCGATATCCTGTAAGTGAATTGTTGAAGAGAACAGGACGTTGCTGTGTTATCACAACAACAATAATAAAATGAGCGATCACAAAGCTGTAGGAAAACTGTCTGAATTATGTCCATCTCTTGCAGCCCCTTGATGACAGTGGCTATTCAGAAGTGGAATTTGGTGAACCTGAAATGTTCCTGCGCTGCAGCATGGAAGAAATTGGGGACCATGAGAGCTGCCTACTTATGCCAACCAATGACAGGACAGGATCTAGAACTGACAATGTCGTGTGGAGAATACCGTCAGGAATAAGGGCACATGCTGGCATTGTATCTGCTGTAACTTTTCTTGCAGCCTCTATATCTACTCTTTTAATCATCCTAACATCCATCTTTTATTCTGATAGTAACTTGTGCAACAATCTGAAAGAATCGTAGTTTTGTTATATACTCTTGCCGTGAACAAAATTTTGTATAAAGCTTTGTGGAGCAAGAACTATCTGCTTGGAATATCCTGTAAAGGAATGCCTGGAATGACGTCCTTGCTGTGTTGCTTGCCCGAATAGGCGCATGCCCATTGCCAAAAACTCTTACTGTACTGACCAATTCATTTTAGAGTGTCTGTAGAAAAACAGGTAAAAAAGCAATGGTCCGTTCACGTGTTTTTATAAATTATAACATCCGCTAGCGACTCTTTAACACCGCATTGTCATCCATTTATATTTCTGGGAAAAAAGTTTGTGCTTTTTCATAATTTACTTAATAATCCCATGACGAAGTAATTGTGTTTATTTTTCACTTCGAATAAGTACAGAGAAGAGTATCTTATTTTTCATACATTGATTGTTGGTTGATAAGACCACCTGCCAAGAGATAACCAGGTTTTATTCAACTCGACTTCAACGCCGGTTGAGCAGCTAATGCGGAGGCAATTCAGATAAAGGACACCAAGGTTTCTGCCTTTTCCCATCGTTTTCCCGGGGACCGGCCTTCACCCTGAGAGGTCAGGGAAGACCCCGAGAACCAACAAGCAACCTGGGCCTCATCTTCCTCCCTAAGACAGGTTTTTCCCACGATGCGAAGTCTCCCTCACATCAAAAGCTGTATCATTAACACTATCTACCTTGGCTGTGGATAGACTCTTTTTCACGCATTATCCAGGTCTCGTCTCCCTTTCTGTGTTTTTCTAATCTCTTTTTCCCAATCGGAAGTTGACCATGGAAATCCCTCCAACCAAAAGAGCAGCCAAACTTCACGATGACTTCTCGTGTCTAGACAACGAATGATACGGGAGAGTTCTCGCCACGAACCGCTTCTTCAACTTCCAGAGGCCACTTGACATTTCGCTGCTGCATTTGCATGCATTGAAATCCAACCCTCATCATCAAACGGACCTCTTTCGTGCCAGATGATCTACGAAGTAGTTGGAATAATATTCCAAGTCAGGAAAGTGGGGTTTCAATTTTCAAAGACAGCAATTTGCACAGGGTTGGAACTTCAACGCGTAGCTCCATTATAAGGACATGAATAAATTCTGATCTTATAAAACCGAAATTTCTTTGCAAATTCCACCGGTTGAATAAATTCACAAGACAACAATGGCTGAAGATCCGAGAATTACTACATTAAATAAATTTGACACAAGGCAAATCAAGACTGCTGATATCACTTGATGATAAATTGATAGTATATTTACACTATTGCAAAAAGAAGCAAGCCAGTGAAGATGCACTAATGATGTGAAAAATTGTAGGACAAAGGTTATAAGCCAAGTGCTTGGAAAGAAAAGAATGGATGTTATGTTTATTAATATTACTATAAAACTCGAAACAATTGAACAAACAGGCACACACCCTTGTAAACCCGAGGCAGCGGAAAATAGAAACAGACAGGAATCCCACCCAGACAAAGCAGCCCAAAATGATCATTTGCAGCCATCATACAATGTATACCACCTCTGACTAGCAGTGAGAAACTCCAGTCAGTCACCATGTCTTGTTAAAGAACATAACCAAGGAACTAGCAGAGACATTACTATCTTGTTGCCAAGCAGCTCTTGAAACAGTTCAAGGATTCTATAAAGATTTTTTTAGATTAGGCTGCAAGTACTATGATCACAATGAGAATCACAGTCCCGAATATCACCATGAGCAAGCAGGCCTGCATTAAATACATGAGGGTCAGTTTTGAATACAATACAATACAATAAATCATAAAGAATCAACATCTAGAATGAAATTCCCCTCCTTGAAACAAGGGCAATATACAGCTTCTTTCATCGATATTCAATAGAATAATTTGCATCGAAGAAGCAGCTCATATTCTTAAATAATGAAAAAGAAAAACACATGTGAAAATGCAAATGGCATTTAGATGACAAGCCCCTTATAGGACAATCTGGGAGTGTCCAATTTAATCAAAAAA